TGGGGAATGCGGGGAATTCTCTTGAATTCGACTAAGTTGATAGCTGAATTTTTTTTTATTTTTCAGCAGATTTAACATGTTTGTTTTCAGTGATTTTCTTTGAAATTAATTCAATTTTTTACTCAAAAAAAAAAAAAAAAAAACATATATAAGACTACAAAGTTATGAAAAGCTAAAAGTCTACATTATCTATAATTAAAAATCATGTTAATTTTTTAGATGAGGCCATTTTGATGGTTCGTGGACTTAGCTCTTAGGTACATGTAATGTTTGTTACCATTTACATACAAAATTAATAATGCCTGAATACAGTAATTGCGAAATTGATAATGAATAACACAACAAATGGCAAAACGCTCAATTTTCACAAAAATTGACATAAACTGGATTGCGATAGGTACATTTTTAAAATAAAGTCACTGTGCCCAGTATGGAATTCCATATACGACAGCCAACTGCTCACTGCTTACTGCCAACTGCTCACTGCTTACTGCCAACTGCCACACATATTTGAATAAATTTTCATATTTATATTGATATTTATGTGAATTTTCATAAAACCAGGCGCGGATCCAGGATCTTTTTTTACAGGAGGGGTCCACCCCAATAAAAAAAAATCCAACACAGAAATTTCTTGACCCCCCCCCCAAAAAAAAAAAAACAAACAAACAAACAAAAAAGTAAACTCCTTTCCTAAACGTAAAAAATTTATTTCGGCGGGGGAAGGGGAGGGGTTGACATCTTCATATCTTTTCATATCAACTTAACACGGATCCACGTTTTCTAGGAGGGGGGGAGGGGTCCAAGGTCACCGTGGCTTTTAGTTGGTTTAGTATATACATTAAATAACTCTACAAATTCCATGGGGTGGTCCGGACACCCACCCACCCCCTCCCACCGCCCCCCCCCCCCCTCTAGATCCGTGTATGTAAAACATAACTTATTTGGGAAAACAAAGAGATATAGATCTTTAATTTGAGAAAATATTTTACGTACCTTTTAAGTAAAACATACGGTGAGATTTAAGAGTCATTTATCCATTATCATTTTCATGAGTATTTGAAAATGGTGACGTTTTCATGAAGGCAAAAGTTATTTATTATTATAACTTTCAGTAATATTTCTATTATAAATACATATACCAACAAATGTTACTCAAGACCCTTTTAAAAGTTTGTTCTTTTGTCGTATGTGACCCCCCTCCCCCTTACCCGCGTCAAAAAAAAGCTTTCAAATTATTTGCCTGCAACGAAATGCAGAAATTAAATGTTTTGTTTTTAAGAGGAAACGCCCCTTCTTCCGATTTACTCCTTCCTCGCCTTTACAGTTTAAAAATTCCTAAATCCGCCAAATTTTGTTATTATTGTAAGAACTATGCACACCAACTCTCGATTCCCGCCTACATTTTCCATCCATTTAATTCAATATAAATGGCAATTTGGACATAAAAACTTGTTTGAATGCAAAGAAAAGTTCATTAGTATTAAGTACTAATTTTAAAAACCAGTGACAAAAAGTTAATTGCTCTTATTTACAACTCCTTTCATAAAGGGGTAGAAAATTTAATTAATTGAAATCAGGCTGAAAACGTCACCATTTTCAAATACTCATGAAAATGATAATGGATAAATGACTCTTGAATCTCACCGTATGTTTTAAATTATGTAAAATTTAACATATGAGATTGATAAAGTGATAAAGTACATTTTTTTATTTGTGATCGCATTTAAAATTGGTAATAAAATGACTATTTTCCTGTTTTTATTCTTTAAACACGTGCCCCCCCCCCCCCCCTCCCCAGTGAGACAACAAAACCTTTTGAATGAATAAAAACTGTAAAAAAGGATCTGTTGTTTCGCGGGGGAAGATGTTTTGAAAATAAATTTCCATTTTCCGTTAATTTCAAGTTAAAGATTTATATCTCTTTGTTTTTCCAAATAAGTTATGTTATACATACATAGATCTAGAGGGGGGGGGGGTCGTTGGGAAGGGGGGTTCCAGACCATCCCCTGGAATTTTAGAGTTATTTAATGTATAGACCTATACTAAACCAACTAAAAGTGACCTTGGAAACCCACCCTACCCTAGAAAACGCGGATCCGTGTTAAGATGATATGAAAAGTCATAGATATGAAGCATAAAATGTCAATCCCCATCCCTCCCCCCCCCCCCCCCCCCGCCGGCCGAAATAGGTTTTTCACGTTTAGGAAAGGAGTTTACGTTTTTTTTTTGTTTTTGATTTTTTGGTCAAGATATTTCTGGGTTGGATTTTTTTTACTGGGTTGGGCGACTCCTGTAAAAAAAATCCTGGATCCGCGCCTGGTTTTATGAAAATTCACATAAATATCAATATAAATATGAAAATTTATTCAAATATGTGTGGCAGTTGGCAGTAAGCAGTGAGCAGTTGGCAGTAAACAGTGAGCAGTTGGCAGTAAGCAGTGAGCAGTTGGCAGTAAGCAGTTGGCTGTCGGATATGGAATTCCATAGCACAGGGTCATCGCTCTTTTTTTTTTTTTTTTTTTTTTTTTTTTTTTTTTTTTTTTTTTTTGAGAGAACAAATAAAAATAATGAAAGGCAATGGAAAGATGTGTCATTTTACATTTTTTTTCTACCAAAAATTTGGTACAAAGACCTATTCTACATTAAAAAAAAATTATACTTAAAAATCTATCATGGTCTTAAAATGGGCTTGGACACAGATTTGAAGTTAATATTTTCTAATATTTTCAAATTTTCTAAAATGTTGCTAGAGCATTTCACATATGTACATAATAAAAGCGTGTTTAGAATCTTTTATCGAAAGATTATTAAAACTATGAATTACGGGACGCGTTTGATTGACACATATCCTGGCATTTTCGCGAAGTAAATTCATCCTCAAAATTAAAAAATAGAAATTTTGTTTTATATTAATGTAAAATATTAAAACTATAATCCAGAAAATTCTAAATAGAAATGTGAGAAAGCAAAATTAAACCAGCCCACCAGTGTTGTCAGTCCGTGTTCGTTGTTGTTGCTGAGTAAACAAATTGAACATACCCATTTAACAGTATGTTTACAAACATAGATGTTTGACGTGATGTAAAGAAGCCTTTCTTTGTCATTGAATTCTAAGAATATTCGTGTAATTTCAGTTCATTGAAATGAAGTTTTTTTTAATAAACTTAGAAATTTAGAATATAAACATTGCAATTGTGTCCAGGCCCCTTTAAAAAAAATCTAAGTCCAAATACGCTCGCTAAATAAATACAAAAAACTGTTTGCTATCTAAGGTAGTACACAATAGATAGGCCAAATTTTTCCCGCAAATTCAATTTGTTTGAAACTTGGAAATTTTGTTCTAGGAGACAAAATCTCTCTTTTTATTTATTATGAAAGAAAATCAACCACCATTTTTTGCAAACATGTATATATTCCTATATATTCCTTTGTAAAACTTTAATCCCCACTTGTGGCCCCACCCTACCCCCGGGGGTCATAATTTGTATAAACTTGAATCTACACTACCTGAGGATGATTCCATATCAATATGACTAATTGTGGCTTTGTTGTTCTTGAAAAGAAGATTTTTAAAGATTTTTTCCTATGTATTTCTATGTAAACCTTTGATCCTCCATTGTGGGCCCACACCCTTCCCCCGGGGGTCATGATCTGAACAAACTTGAATCTCAACTACCTGAGGATGATTCCATATAAATATGACTAATTGTGGCTTTGTTGTTCTTGAGAAGAAGGTTTTTTAAAAAAAATTCTTAGATATTCCATTGTAAAACTTTGATCCCCAATTGTGGCCCCACCCTACCCCCGGGGGTCATAATTTGTATAAACTTAAATCTACACTACCTGGAATGATCCCAAATCAATAAGACTAATTGTGGCTTGGTTGTTCTTGAGTAGAAGATTTTTAAAGATATTTTCCTATATTTTCCTTTGTAAAACTTGGATCCCCCCATTGTGGCCCCACCCTACGCCCGGGGGTCATGATTTAAACAAACTTGAATCTACGCTATAAAATGATGGTTTCAAATAAGTTTCACCTTTTTCCGCCCAGTGGTTTTTGAGAAGAAGATTTTTAAAAGATACTACCAAATTTTTACTAATTCTTAATTATCTCCCCTTGAAAGAAAGCGTGGCCCTTCTTTTGAACAAACTTGAATCACCTTTACCCAAGGATGCTTTGTGCCAAGTTTGGTTGAAATTTGCCCAGTGGTTCTGGAGAAGACGTCGAAAATGTGAAAAGTTTACAGACGAACGGACAGACAGACAGCTGGACAGACGGACGACGGACAAAATGCTTTCAGCTCAAGTGAGCTAAAAAATCATGTAGGAGTTAAAACTTAAGAAATAAATCTTTAAAATTTGCCTTTTAGCGGTTTTAAAATCCACATTTTGCGCAACATAATAAAATTTCAAAATAATCATGGCTTTGCTGTTCTGGGGAAGATTTTTAAAGAAATTGCCCATATATTCCTGTGTTGAACTTTGATCCTCTGTTGTGGCCCAGCTTACCTCGGGGTCATGATTTGAACAAAGTTGAAGTTACACTACACTGTATGTAATGATTCCTTTAAGTAAGTATCATCACTTCTGGCCTAGTGATTCTTGAGAAGATCGATTTTAAAATATGCCATTAAATTTACATAAATTCTTTTTATTAACCCCCCCCCCTTTCCCTTGAAAGAGGACGTGGCCCTTCATGTGAACAAACCTGAACCCTCTTTACCCAAGATGCCTTGTGGCAATTTTGGTTGAATTTGGCCATGTGGTTCTAGAAAAAAAGAAGAAATTGTATAAAGTTTACGAAGATGACGACAAAGCCGAAAACGAAGGACAAAGTACAAATTTTGATCAGAAAAGCTCACCTGAGCCTTTGGCTGGCAGGTGAGCTAAAAACTAAAGGTTATCATTCAGGAAAAAACCCCACTTTATATCAATGCATTTCAAAGAATATTTCCTACGTTTACATTTATTTACAATATTTTTCCTTCATTAAACAGGAGATGATGTTATGGGAATCAACAATGAATCACACATTGCTGCACTATTATAATCTGTTCTTCAACGACTACGTAAGACACTTGATGTTTTTAAAAATGAATAATCTCTCTCTCTCTCTCTCTCTCTCTCTCTCTCTCTCTCTCTCTCTCTCTCTCTGTGTGTGTTATATATATATATATATATATATATATGTATATATATATATATATATATATATATATATATATATATAGGTGTGTGGATGTGAGCGTGTGGGTGTGAGGGAGGGGTGTGTGGGTGTGCGTGTGTACATGTGTGTTTCTTAAAATGGCATTATTTTTAGGTACAAAGATACAATTTTGAAGATTTAAAGGGAAACGCCTTTTCCTTTGAATTATGCATATATCATTATCCAAATCGTAATTGCGAAAGTTTTCCACTCAGCCGTGATGTAACAACTCTGGTACAGGCTATTTGTAAGTTCTATGTATTTATCAATGTACCTGCAAGAATTCAAGGCAAAAAAAAAATTATTATAATGCAACCTTAAAGTCCTGTGATGCTCTATGTAGAAGTGTTTGAATTGTTTATTTTAGGTGAGATGATAGGTTCCGTTGCTGTTCTATGTTTAAATATTGTTAGCTTTTTTCTTGTCCTTCTGAAATTTGGATCTTCCCATAAAGTTCTTGCTGCGGGAATTGCTATGTTTCTTGCAGGTAAGTCGAGTCTATTGGTTTCATTAGTAGTAAATTAATTCAAATACGATATCTGAACTATTTGTTTGGGATTCAAATCTCAAAAATTATATGCCCATAGATAATTTAACAGTATGTCAATCATTTGTACCTAAAGGATACATAATTTGGGATATTACAATGCATTAGCTCTTCTCAAGAAATGTTCATGGATCTTATTGATAAATCTTTTTGACTGCAATTTTATCCTTTTGAAATAGTTACATACAAAAATCTTAACAACGTAGTTTACAAGTAAGGATATAAATTTTGTTCTTGATCAAATAATTGTAATTTCATACAGCTTTACTTGAATTCCTTGTGATAATCAGTTGGATCGAAATCGACAGAAAGGGATGGGAGCTCTTCAAACGTAGAACCGGGTACACTGACAAGGTAGCATATGAACACAATATTCCTTACTCCATTTTTCTTGCCGGAGAGAGTCTGCTTTTTAGTATCCTTGCCATATATAGCATTTACGGTTTGTTCAAGAAATTAAACAAACAAATCGAGGAGAATCTGATTGATGATTTGTGAAGTAATGAAGTTTACAGCACAAGAAATTACACATATATATTATTAGAGCATTAAATAGTTCCATAATTTAAGCTGTAAATACAATTTTGTTGGATAAAATCGTGCAAAAGTTATCAGCAAAGAATTAAGACTTTGATTGTTTGAAAGATGGACCTTCATAATTTGATTACGTGTAGTTTTTTTTCTAATTAATATATAGAGTTGCTATTGAATCGATATATTTTATATAAATTCAGGTTTAAGTTTTACATGTAGCATCTGATGTTTATTTCTTAATGTAATAAAATACATTTTTTGAAAATGCAATTACTGTTTAATTAAGAAATAAACAAAAATGTTAAAACGTTCACTGGGAAGTGAACTTAGTTGGTCACGTGATCAAATCCTGTGAAGCCTAAAGGGCTTTTCAGAAGATTTGATCACGTACCAACCAAGTTTATTTCCCAGTGAACTTTTTAACATTGCTGTTTATTTCATATATTTACATTTGAGACGAATATTCAAAAAGAAATATTACACAAGCTGTCCGCCGTATCACTATGTTGTTACACGCAGTATTACCTAGAGCTGGAAGTTATTTGGTCATGAAAGATCGCCTAGCTCAAATATTTGAAGGTTTTTATTGGTGTTTCGCAATCAATTTCAGAAAATCTATGTCCATAATAATAAAACAATGATCGATATTGAAAATAATCTTACTGTTTTGTGAGTTTTTTTTTTCAATATATTTTGAGTCAAAAGCGGTGGTATCATCTGTTCAGTTTACATACCTCCAAAGGAATTTCGGCTTAAAAAGTTAAGCGTGATTTTAATTAATATTCAAACTATTCTTCACACCGAAGAAAGATCAAATGGACATTTGTTGATTCAAAAAAATATCCAAATGTTTTAATTATTTCATCTTTGTCATCGCTATCAAGCTGGAAGTTCAGTTTCACTGTTATAGAAATATGTAGGCAAGATATCTTCTCGACGTGTGATTCGGTCACGCTTTGACCTCTGACCCCCTAATATTGAACATATTTTCTCTTCAATATGTTCATTTAAGTGAAATATTTGCAAATGTAAATATATGTTGATGTAATGACCTATTAACAGGCATTTCCTCTTATTTGTTTACATACAGATTACATTTAAATAGATCAATGATTGCTGTAAATAAGAATATGAAATAAATTTGTTTTCTACTTGTCAAGTGTTTTATTTCGTCTTTTCAAATAACACCTGTCTCTCTGTTTACCTGGCTGAGCAAATTCTGTTGAGATCATATCTTTATAATATAGAAGTAATACCAAACGCCTTCATTTAAAAAAGTGTGGCTTATGTCACAAAGTTTTCTGAGGATATTAATAAAGAAAGACGTAGCTTAATACTAGCCGTTCCAACCAAAAGCCCCCGTTATGTCAAAAATTTTAAAAATTACTTCTTTCTTCAAAATAAAGTACAACTTATTGTGAATATAACCTGTAAATATTCGCCATTTCCACAGTATTTGTGCTAATTGTCTTGTACTTGGATCAAAAATTTAAAAAGTCATACAGCACATTATTGACATGTTTTCTAGAAAGTACAAGACCTATGCAGTCCCAATTTTTTTTATAAGCATTTTTATCGAAAAAAAGTTATGCTAAGTCAAATTTTGGGTGAGATCTTGTGTTGTGCACTGCGAAATGATTTTCACTTGTTATTATCTAAAAAAAAAAAATAGTATTAAAAGATATTTATTCAATTCAAACTAGTTTTTTTGCAGGTTTCAATAATATACCTGAATGCAGTGAAATTAAAGAAAAATCTTATGGTTCTCTTTGAAATCCAGAATTTTATACATATTAATGACTTGATAATCTTTCTGCCTAATTTATATCACATCTTTAAGTTTATCTACTTTTATAATTATATAAATACCTATATAATTATATATTGATCATCTGAAAATTAAATTGAATACTTCTAAATTTCAAATTAATTTGGCATAATATCCTGGATATCTTAGTTTGCATCTTATCTGGCTTTGAAAATGCATAGCGTTTTTGCTGCGGACACTACAAGTAACCATAAGTATAATCTTTAGCTATTTTTAATAGCGAGCGCAGTGAGCGGCGCGAAGCACCGCTCGTCACTGCGAGCTCTAACGACAACGCCTGGGCGAAGAGAAAATTCGGATTACTGCACATTCATTCAGTAGAATTTTTTCCGCAGTAATTCTGGACCCACAATGCATCGCTTGTTGTTCTCGCTGCTAATTTCGGTCACGCGGTAACAACAACTAAAAATTCACAAAAAATAAACTCACCTTAATTTAATGAATATTGCATACACATAGTAGATTAAACGTTCTTTGTTAAATTTTTTGCACTTTTCAAACTTCATTTATGGAAATGCAGCTAACAAACGACGTCATGTGACGTCACAGTCTAGACGTTCCAAATGTCTTGTGCGGTTTGAAGAGGCGGATCTTAAAATTAAGTGAACGATGCGCTCGCCCCAACGGTCGCACCGTCAACATATTAAAAAATTGTTGATAAATGTTCATTTCTAGGCTGAATTAGTACAAATCTCTTTTCTGCTTGAACTTTCAGTAAGGCGTGACAATCTCGGCAATACAAAATTAGCGTTTTCAAACGGTGACCTAGATTCACATTGGTTAAGAAATTAATAACATTAGCAACTTTAGATTGTTGTCAAACAATGAGATGACATAAGCCACACCTCTGTAAGAAACGATGTAATTGGTTCCTTGCGTCACTCGTTGACGTCTGAACCATTTTTACCCCATGTGCATTTCACCCATGAATGAAAAAGCTGTGCTTATCTGGCAACCAATGAGAATGTAGGTCACTATTTGACAGACGCTAATTATGTTTAGCCGAGAATGTCACGCCTTACTGAAAGTTCAAGCAAAAAAGATATTTGTACTATATACCACGTGATCAACTCTTGAAATGGATCATATAAAAAGATGAAGAAATTTATTTATTGAGGTGAAAATAGCCACATAACAAGGACCATTTGTTATTTCATGATGTATAATTGTTATGCAATTTAAAAAATGTGTATGGGTTCACAGATTTAATACAATCAAGCAAGTTAAAAAAAATAGGTTTATAGGTAAATTTCACGAAATAAAGAATTTACGGAGGAATCTATCATTTTTTTTCTCAGTATTTAAATTGTTGTGGACACTAGAATATTTGGAAAGAGCCATAGCGCATTTGATAGGCATTTTCGCCTACTCTACTAGTGATTTCTTAAATTCATTGTTTAACCAAAATTTTGTCATACAATCTTAGTTTATACATGCGTAAAACCAAACCACACAATAATTATATTTAAGTATTAATAGTTCCTTCATATGATAAATATGAAAATTATCCAGTTTGTATGGAGTATATAGTAAATATTGAGGTATCCACCTAAAGATGACAAACTGTTGCCAAAGACCACCCTTAACCAGAAAAACAACTTCTGAATAATTTTATTTGGATATGACTGCACTACATTACATTTAGATAATTCTGGTTAAATGTGGTCTTCATATTGAAAATGATGAAAATATATATTCAATTTTTCTTCTCATATAATCGTAAGATTTAGCAATCTATCTTGAATTTATCCATTCGACGTCATTGACTTCGTTGGCGCAGTGGTATAATTGCTGGAACATAAATATGGTGATTGCGAGTTCGAGCCCTACATCTTTTCCATTTATGCTTTTTAAATTTTTATTTTCTTTGTGTATCTTTCTACGTTTTTCTTTATTACGTTTTATAAAATACATAATTTCAGAAAGTTATAATATAAACATTACACTTTGAAGTATCTCGGGAAAAGACAGTCCTAAACTATTTTACTAAAGTTTGCAAATTCATAGCTACTTGTTTTACTTTTATTGATTTTCTAAATCTTTTGTCTCAGAATTAGAAAATTGAACAAATTAAATGATTGTCATTTGACATACTTGCAACTATGAAAATATTACACTCGTCCTCATATTACATGGTATATCTATAAATAGAAACAGGTGATTTCTTTTTAAATTTTTGAGTCGGCCGTGTTGTCGGAGAGGCAGCAATGGCTCTTTTGATAAATGACACCGTATTTGGTTTGAATGGAGTAAACTGAATATCTTAAAGGTGCTTGGACACAGATTTGAAGTTAATATTTTCTCAAATTTTCTGTAGCCTATAATTTCATGACTTAT